TCTCTGGCTGATTGTGCAACCAACCATAAGAATAAGAATAAGAATAATTTATTTTCCTGCAGATCTCACCATAGAGAGCACATGGTTTCCATTTGCGGTCCTTGTCGTAGTTAGAGGTTGTGGCATACCATAGTTGCAAATCAGCAGCACCATCTTTTGTGCATGAGGTGTAGGACTTCTGCTTGTAAACAAATGGGAATACACAGGGAGAAGGAACTGGAGAGAAAGCAGTAAACCATGCTCTAAGAACATGAGGTACACTATCTACTCTTACGTAATTGCTGTAAAATTATTGGATCATTAATTACACTGTGACCAGTACTGAAGGTCATCTTCACAAAGGATCATATGAGCAGAGCTGCCGTTTTTTCCCTCCAAGCTATCTTTGTTGAAGTTGAATATTGTATATTTCTAATGTTTCAGCAGCCAAACTGGGGGACAAATCCAACTCAGCAAACCATACTGAGTTTCAGGAGAGCACAAGACTGGGCTGTTCCATCCAGCACAGGAGGAGAGCAGGTGGTGAGGGACAATTTGATTATGGCAAACACATGTTTTTGTAGATTTTTTTTCCTTTTTGTATGATGTTTGATACCAATAATTGTATGATGTTTGATAATGTGTAAAGGAATTGGGGGGATTTGATACTTTATTTGTGTAAAGGAATAAGTTTGATACTTTATTTGTATAAAGGAATTGGAGAAGGTATGAGAGAAGGGAGGGAGGGAAGGAGGGGCTCTTAAGGGGGGATTACAGAAGATACTACACTGTCCTGAGAAAGAGGAAAACATGAGAAAGAAACTCACAAACCCTACCTTGATTTTGTTCAGTATAAGATAGGATGGAGAAAAACCTGGGCAGGCTTTCCAGATTCTGTTATTTTACCTTATTACAATAAAGAGCATTTCTGGAATTCCTACCATGCCTGTTTCTTGACCTGGCCTGTCTCAAAGAGCTGACAATTTATTATATGGGAGTTATTAATTATTTTTTAGGGAGAGAGGGCCTTGGGATTTATTTTAATTGTTAGCCACCCAGAGCTTCAGAAATGAGTGGCATACACGCATAAATGGCTGGCATGCAAATGTAAATAAACAATAACATCATTTCAGCCTGTCTATAATTGAAAGATCAAGCACTGCCACCATGCTCCCCACCCTCCATCTCCAATCCTCAGACAGTGGCCTTAAAAAATATTGTCCCATCTGTTAAGAAATCTCTTGGAAGCAGAGATAGATAGATGATAGATAGATAGATAGATAGATAGATAGATAGATAGATAGATAGATAGATAGTATAAAAGAACGAGAACTGTCCAACAACTGTGGATTGTTTCTTACCTTGACAAACTGCAAGCCAAGATAGAAGAGCCCAGCTGTACAGAATCAATGCACTGACAGGGCCCATCTCCTCCGTGAGATAACTGAGAAGGTTTGAGAATGGATCTTTTTTAAATCCCGCTTGACCACACCTTCCTCCCACAAGTACACAAGTTTTGAAATCTGTACTGTCATCTGCAACTCAGTCAACACGACCATCCCTGGTTAATAATAGTTACGCGATGCTTCCTCATTAGGGGCTAATGGTTATGATGTGTTAGTGTTTTTGAATGAGAAATCCATTCAGGTTTAAAGAATGTGACCCTGTCTAGCTGAGAAGAGATGGTAGATATATAAAGCAGAAAATACAGGAATTGGCAGTTTTGCAAGAACTGGGAAGGATCGTTTTTAAAAAAACTGACACAAGCTTAAGCAGGGAAGCAAGGACAGTCTAAATTACCCTTTGGTGGAGCTACTGTTTTATACAAATGCTTCTTGCATTCCATTCATATTTGGATTGTCTATTTCTAATTACATCAAAGGTTACGTAGATACCTGGATACTTAGAGCACTGTTTTCCCAAGGAAGATAAAGTACTGCAGGCAGACGTCCAGTGGAAGAATTGGGGAACCTAGTCTACTCTTTTTCATCACACAGCACCAATATTCTAGGGCCGTCCAGCATGCATGATTGCCCTCCCCCTTACAGTGGACTTTTTATTTTGTTTGCATTTGTTTGTGGTCTATGGGTTGTTTTTCACTGTTATTTGCTTGTTACTTTGGAAACCTGAGTGTTTTACTCATAAGACTGCTGGTCTTAGTTATGCCATTTCAGCTACTGAAGAATCAGCATTCAGAGAATGAGTTTGCTGTTGGAGCATGGGATAATCCCTCAAATATGATTACTTTTCTCTTTTATTCTAAAGTACTTGTTTTTTGAAAGTGTGAAAGGATGCTAAAAATACCCACAGTTTCCTCCCTCAGGATCACTTGGCCCAAACAGTAGACATTTTCCCTTCAGACTGCAGGTAGCAGATACTGTTTCCAAGGTTCCCTCTCTTTAAAATTCCCCATCGACATAAAAGCACTAAAGCAAAACCTGAACTAGAAACCCCTTCTCTCTAATAGGGGTATTTGCAGGATTCAGTGATGGGTTTTTGTGGGTTTGTTTCTGGCCCTTTAACATAAGTCAGAATTCCCATGAGGCTTTTGCAGTCCAATTTGCAGTCCTTTTGCAGTCCAAATCAACCAGTTCAGTCCATTCCATTCCATTCCATTCCATCTCATTTCATATGTATATCCTGCCTTTCTTTCTAGAATTAAAATGGCATATGTAGCATTCCCTCCTCTCATTTTTCTCCAGGTTGGACAAGAGAGAGTGACTAGCCCAAAGGTACTCGGTGAGCTTTTATGGTTTAGGCAGCCATGTCAGGGTTTAGCTACAAAGTTGCGCATATGGCAAATGTGTATGCTTTTTTTCATGCCAAGGACCCTGCTTGGTTTTGAGTGGCATGCAAAGAGTTGTTTTCCAAAAAGTGGGCAGGGCCGGGACAAAGTATAATTATGACTGGATTTAATCTCACTATATACCATTAATATGAATTCTCCCTATCTTATTTATATTTGTAAATGTAAAAACTACAACTTGGGGAGGTCCTTTGGGGACCCACAGTCAACATTTTGGAAATGCTTACACAGTCCTGTGGCTGCAAGTTGTGCATCCTTTTGTGCAACTGACCTTCAGCGATTTCTTTTCATAGCTGGGGGTTGTGATTAATATCACTACACGCTATAGAGAAAGAAGGAGCTAACTTTGAAAAAGGAATGCAAGATTAGTTAGGTAAACATCGACTTAGCCCTGAGAAGGAAGAGGAAATGAGAAAGAAACTCGATATAACCCACCTTGATTCTCTTTAGTATAAGAAGAGACAGCAGGAAACTGTCAGGCTTTCAAGATTCTGCTATTGTACCCTATAACAACAGAGTTCCCAAGTAGTCCTTGTGGTGTCTGTTTTCTGATCTGGTCTATCTGGAAGGGCTGATGCACATTAATCAGGGAATTCATAAGTTTCCCTGCTACCACCATGTGGGAGTTACAAACAAAAAATAATAATAATTGCTACAGAGAGTTAGAGAATTCTTTTATTCCCAGATCTAGAATTCATCAAAATAAGGAAAAGTCAGCTGTCCTTGGTCTATTTCTTTAGTTTATTCATTTGATGCCATCTGGCTGTTGAGCAGTTTCAGCAAGGCCTGATGATTGACTGGTCTACCTGTGAGGTCATGAGCTAGAAAGAGAACCAAAAAATACAAAGGGATGTACAATCAGTCTGTGTGTCTATGTAATGTGTCAAATCTATACAAAGTTCACTCTGGAAGACAGCTGATTGGCTAATTCAGGAGAGACCAGGAGGGATAAGATACGATTCTTTGACATTTTATATATAAGACAAAATACAGCCTTTTCATGTGAAATGCAGTGTAGGGTTGTATTACCAAGCCTCAGGAGCATAAGGTATGGTTCCACCTGGAAGTTGTCAGATGTAATTCTTAGCATTTTCAACGAAAGAATCCAAAACAGTTCAACTCAGCCAGGATACTTTTTGACTGGGGGGTTTCTGCTCATAACTTTGGATTATTATGGTCAGACTACTCATGGACTAACAATATGACTAAAGCAATTGCATACACTCATGGAGTTTTTCATATAGTTCCTTTGCTGCATTAAATTTGATTAATGTCTTAATTAAGTCTCTCTTTACCTACTTTTCAGAAGGAAGGTCTATAAAAGGAAGGGAGAAGATAAAGACCAAAAGCCACAATCAGTGTGTCACAAGCATAGTGGAATGGAACACTTCCAGCCTGGTCAGTCCTCACAGGTGGGCTGGAGGAAGGATGGAAGGAGTCAAGGTTGTTCAGACATGAGAATTAGCCAATCAGCCAATGAAGGCTGAGGGCAGAGGAAGCATAAAATAGACTCGAAGTTTTTCTGCTACTCTAGCATGTCAAGGGAAATGCTCTTGTTGCATGTTCAAACAGGTTCAAAAGGCATGCCAAGAAATCTTTCTGTACTCTTTAACCAAAGCAATCCATTAAAAAAAAAGTTGTCACCCTAAAAGCGTACAATTGTGACAATGATATAATTGCGTTTTCTTTGAAATTTTCTGACTTTTGGAAATCTATGTGATGTCCTTAGCAAGGATGTATTTTCACATAACCTTTTATCTTAATATGAAGCAATCTTCTTTTAAATGGGCCCTTATTTGTAAATGATCCAGTTTCTTGGTGAGATAAGACCATATCTGGCCTTACATGCATGTTGGGAAAACTGCTTGTGGACTGTTACTCTCCCTACTTTCTCAGGATTCACATATCTGCTTAAGTCTGCTACCTAATTGCTATTGTGTGGTTCAGGTAAAATGATTGTTCTCTCCTGTGTCTCATAGAGCTCAGCTCCTTTCTCCTGTGGCCTTCCAGACTGATCATAATACTACTTAATACCCAGACTAATTTCATAAATGCCAGACAGCTCGTTCTCTATCTGTGCAAATTTATGACAAGGAAGCAGCTGGATGGTACAAATGTTAAAAATTCATTATGACAAATGATTTTTCGTCAAGATTCTGAGTTAAAAAGGGTATTTGAACATTCATGGAGCATAAAGTTAGCAATGGCTACTAGTCATGATGGGTCTACGCAGCATCCTGGGCCAGAGGAGCATTATGCCATACAGAGAGAGAGTAAAGGTAGCCTACATGTCTCGTTGGAGATCTTACAGCTAGTCTACATATCTTGCTGGAGATAGGAATCAAAGAGGAATGAGGACTCTGTTCTCCTCCAAATTTCTTTCTTCTTTTGACATCTGTACTTCCCTTTTCTTTCCATTGAAGGAAAAGAA